TGCATGATTCTTTTGATGACACCAATAGGCGCTTTGTGCAGAGAATCAAGAATCTGAGGTTAGAGAGGCGTTGAAAAGGATGAAAGGAGATAAGGCGATGGGATTGGATGGTATCCCAATCGAGGTGTGGAGATGCCTTGGGGACATAGCTATAGTATGGCTAACCAATCTGTTCAACCATATTTTTCGATCGAACAAAATGCCTGATGAGTGGAGGAGAAATATATTAGTACCGATCTACAAGAATAAAGAGGATATTCAAAGTTGTACTAATTGCCGGGGAATTAAGTTGATGAGCCATACTATGAAGCTATGGGAGAGTTATCGAGCATCGCTTGAGAGCAATAGCACGGGTCTCTATGAACCAATTTGGTTTCATGCCCGGAAGATCAACCATGAAAGCCATTTTCTTAATAAGACAAGTTATGGAGCGGTATAGGGAGAAGAAGGACCTACACATGGTTTTTATTGACTTGGAGAAGGCTTATGATAAAATACCAAGGAATATTATATGGTGGGCTTTGTACAAACATAAAGTCCCAACGAAGTACGTCGGGCTCATTAAAGACATGTACAACAATGTTGTGACTAGAGTTCGAACAAGTGATGGAGACACGGATGACTTCCCGATTAGGATAGGACTACATCAAGGGTCAACTTTGAGCCCTTATTTGTTTGCCTTAGTGATGGATGAGGTCAAAGGGGACATACAAAGAGACATCCCTTGGTGTATGCTTTTCGCGGATGATGTAGTGCTAGTTGATGAAAGCCGGACAGGAGTGAATCAGAAACTGGAGTTATGACAGGAGACTTTGGAGTCCAAAGGTTTTAGACTCAGTATAACTAAAACTGAGTATATAAGATGTGACTTCGACACTACTACCCGAGAGGAGAAAGATATTAGTTTGGAAGATCAAGTAGTGCTTAGGAAAGATACCTTTCGATATTTAGGATCAATGCTACAGAGAGACGGGGATATTGATGAAGATGTTAGCCATAGAATCAAAGCAGGGTGGATGAAGTGATGGCAAGCATCTAGTGTCCTATGTGACAAAAGGGTACCACAGAAGCTAAAAGGCAAGTTTTGTAGGATGACGATTAGACCTACTATGTTGTATGGTGCAGAATGTTGGCCTACAAAAAGACGACATGTTCAACAGATAAGTGTCGCGGAAATGCGTATGTTGCGTTGGATTTGCGGTCATACAAAAAGGGATCGAGTTCGGAACGATGATATACGTGATAGATTAGGGGTAGTACCAACTGAAGAAAAGCTCATCCAACACCGGTTGAGATGGTTTGGATATGTCCAACGGAGACCTCCAGAGGCGCCGGTGCGTAGTGGAATCCTAAGCCAGGATAGTAACGTGAAGAGAGGCAGAGGAAGACCGAAGTTGACTTGGGTAGAGGCAATAAAAGGAGACTTGAAATGATGAATATACCTAAAGACTTAGCCTTAGATAGGATTGCTTGGAAGACAATTATTCATGTGCCTGAACCTTGATTGCTTCTACTGGGTTTCAACTCTAGCCTACCCCCAACTTGTTTGGGATTTAAAGGCTTTGTTGTTGTTGTTGTTGTATTGTAAGTAGTCCACTGCCACATGATCATCTAGGCTATTGTGTTTTTACTTTGAACAAGTTCCACAGGATTATCTAGACTGTTGTGTTTTTATTTTGAAAATCTGTTTGTTTGCCATTTTACTAGCTTTTAATATAATTTGCCTATGCCCATCATAAAATCATTACGCTATCTATTTACCTTGTCAAATGTCATCAACAATCTTTATTTATTGTTGTATAGTATTGGGAGTATGCTTTACAACAATAAAAAATAGCATACCCAGTGCAGACAGCTCCTGCTCTGTGCGGAGTCTGGGGAAGGATGTCAATGGCAAGCCTTACCCTCGCCTGTACAATGCGAGGAGACCGCGACTCAAACCTGGGATCTTCCGGTCACATACAACAATCATTTAGCTTATTCCATTAGTAACTTATATTTCATTTCTAGTGAACTAGTTTTCTACATGTTTAATAAACTAATCTTTGTTCTTAAGTTCCGTGTTATGGATTTAGTTAAATTAGTTATGATTGTCTACCGCATACGAAAAGAGGGCACTTCATTCAAAATTATATAACGAACACAAAACACTTGTGTATGTGGGAAGTACAATTACATTCTACACTGTTCTATATCTTTTAGCAATTAACTGGACACACTTGATCAATTCAGAGGTTGGCGGCAGGCGAGTGGTTCACAGCTCGAGTTTCGTCATGTGGCCTTTTTCATATCGCCTATCCTAGTGCACCTAAGCAACTGAAGGCAGAACTGAGGACAATTTATGGCCAGTTATGCCAAGACGACATGCCTATGGTACGAAGAGCTGCTGCTTCTAATCTTGGAAAGTTTGCTGCAACAGTTGAACAAAGTCATTTGAAGACAGAAATCATGTCAATATTTGATGATCTAACTCAAGATGGTACATCCTACAGATATTTTTACCACTGCTTTATTAAGTTATCTCTTTTGTTTTGTGGATGATTTGCTTTAGTTCTGTGCATACGACTCATACATCTTTGTTTTATTATTTAAATTTTGTTCTCAACATATTGTTATTTATTGTACCATTGGATTTTACTATTGGATTACTTTTGTGCTTTGCACCTGCATTTTGACTTTAGTTACTTTTCTTGTTTTACTAACTTCACAATAATTAATTGACGTTTATTGCTCTATTCTGTTTTGTGCCACTGTAAATCCTTTAATATTCTTTAGCAATTTGTTTTTCTATACGTAATAGACATGATGCACAGTCGAATATCTTTTTTTGCCTGTTGGCTGCCGCAATCTGTTGTTACAATTATCAATTTTTAATACAAATACCATTGCTATTGTAACCTGCTTAGCTATGCAAAATTGTTCTTATGTGCTTATTATCTTATACCCAAAGACTTTGAAAGGATGGAATATACTCAAAGACTTAGCCCTACATAGGAGTGCTTGGAAAACAGCTATTCATGTGCCTGAACCTTGATTGCTTCTGCTATGTTTCAACTCTAGCCTACCCCAACTTGTTTGGGACTTAAAGGCTTTGTTGTTGTTGTCGTTGTCGTTGTCGTCGTCGTCATCGTCATCGTCGTCAGCAACTATGTTAAACAGGAAAGGGGACAAAGGGTCACCCTGTCTGACCCCCCTGCCAGACTTAAAATAACTACCAGTGGTGTTGTTTAATTTGACACTTGCAGTACCAGAACTCATCACAAGTTTAAACCAATCACACCATTTAATCCCAAAACCTCTTTGTTTAAGGCATTCATACAAGAAATCCCAATTAAGCTTGTCATAAGCTTTCTCAAAATCAAGTTTTAAAACTAAACCATCTTTCTTTTTTATTCTAGTATCATGTAGAATTTCATGTAGGGCTAAAATGCCATCCATAATATTTCTGTCCTTCAGGAACCCAGATTGGCTCCTGTTGATAATCTGTCCCATGACTTTGTCTAGTCTCAGCATTAAGGCTTTTGTAAAAATCTTGTATACAACATTTAACCGACAGATAGGTCCGAATTGTTTAATAGTATTGGCTTCTTTAACTTTTGGCAAAAGAGTTATGATTCCATAGTTGAATCTACCAATGTCCAGCCTCATGTGGTAGAAGTCATCAAAGAGTGCTACCAAGTCTCTTTTAACAATCTCCCAGCCGTGTTGACAAAACTCAACAGGAAAATGGTCAGGCCCAGGAGCTGTATTCTTCTCCATAGAGAATACAGACTCTTTGACTTCCAATTCAGAGAAAGTTTTTTCAAGTTCCTCATTATCATGTGTATTAACCATTTCAGAAGGGTCCCAACACCCTGGTTCCATATGGAGACCAGAAGGTGTAGAAGGACCAAAAAGCTCTTTATAGAATTGAGTAGCATGGTCCACTAGGGCACCATCACCTTCAATCACTTGATCATTATGTTTTAAGGAGAAGATGGTGTTTTTCCTTTTCTTTCCATTAGCAACCCTATGAAAGAAAGTAGTATTACAGTCACCTTTCAAAAGCCAAGTGATATTAGCTCTCTTATGCCAATAACTCTCCTCCTCCATCAATCTTCAAATTCCAGTTTGAATAAATGTTTTCCTTTCCAATTTCTCAGCATCTAGAGTACTTTCTTCTTCTAATTTCTCTATAATCTCTAACTCTTCCTTGAGAATGTTTTTATATTTTCTGGTATGCCCTTTAAGGCTTTGGCCCCAACCTTTCAGAAACTTTTTAATTCTATCCATCTTGATACACCAGGTATCAATGGCAGATTTGGCATTGACTTTTTTATTCCAAATTTCCCTCACTTTAGTTTTAAAATCAGCATGTTGCAGCCAAGATGTTTCAAAGTAGAAGGGTCTACAGCAATTTGTTGGGAGGGATCTGTCCTCACAATCAAAGGATTGTGGTTAGACATGTATCTAGGAATTTTCCTAAGATTGCATAATGGGAATTCATTTTCCCAAGAGCTTCAAATTAACACTCTGTCTAACTTCTCAAGAGTTGGATTTTTCCTATTATTGCTCCAAGTATATTTGCTACTAGAGGGATGCAGATCTCTAAGATCATAAGAATTGATGATTAGATTAAAGACAGAGGAGAAATTACTGTCATGGAACTTTTTGTTTTTGTCAGAGCTAAATCTCTTAATATTGAAGTCACCACCAATAAGAATGGGCTACTTGGCCTTAAAACAAAGACTAGACAGTTTAGCAAGGAAGCTATCTTTAGATTCATCCTGAGCTGGTCCATACACATTTGCCTGGGACCAGTTTTCTTAAGGCTCTTATCAAAAACATTAGCAATAATCATAAAGTCACCACTATCAAAATTCTCCACCTCAAACTTCTCCTTTCTGACACCACTCAACATCCCACCACATTTTCCATTAGAGGGAGTCAAGAACTAGCTGAACTCCTTGTTATCAATTTTTCGAAAAAAAAATATCAGAATAGGATTTCTTCATTGTTTCCTAAATACCAATGAAATCAGCTTTATGATCCCAGATTAACTCCTTGATATAAGAGCTAAGACCCTTCTTAGCTACCCCCTGCAATTCCAAATGATACCTATCATGGATACACTTTTTTAGTAGCGTTTCTATCCCTGAGATTAAATCTAGGGCTAACATTAGATTCATCTCCTTTAGAGCCCACAGAAACATCAGTAGGATGCTTCTTAGTGACTCTAGTTTTCTTTTTGCCTTTTTTAGAGGATCTACTTTTTCTCACACTAGCTATCAGAACAAGAGGTTCTTCTTCAGACTCCTCAGATCCCCATTCAAGAATATTTTGGTCTTCTAAGGGAAGATTATCCTCTTCCAGGTTAATCACTTGATCAACAGGAGCACTTGAGTGCTCATTCAATTTCATTCTTGCATTCTCAAGATCTTTAAGGAAATCAATTTTTTCAAAAGACATGGATTCAGATTGAACCACCATTTTGGTGGCCAAATCAATAATAAGAGGATTAGAAAGAACTACAAAGGAGTTCTGGTGAATGGCTAAAGTACCTTCATCTTCCATGTCTTGCAGATTCTTGCTTGGAGCTTGTTCACCCATCTTCTGCTGAAAGGAGCCATTGGCTTTGATTCTCTTGCTCTGCCTCACATCCTGCCATTGGGACCACCCCTCCTTGTCTACATCTTGCTCTTTCTCCATCACTGCTTGCAGATCATTGGCTTGATTTTCCCAGGCATTAAGTTTCTCAGTAGGCCCTTGCACATTATCAGTCTGAGCTTTCTCAAGCATCACCTCCAGCTGGCTGGTTTCTTTTGTAGATATATCATGATCACCACTGGCTTCTTGAATGCTGTCCTTGACATTGTTATTTCCATTGACAGTATCCATGGCCATCACATTTACCTCAGCCTCTTGGCCATCTTCCCCCTAGATCGTCCCAGTCAATGTCCTGACTCACTTTCTGATGCTTCTCTTCTTGACTAGACATCTCAACTTCAGACCCCCTTGGCTACCCTTAACAGGGCTCATACATGTAGCTCTTTCCACAACTTCTTCCTTATCCTCCATGATGGTAGACATTTTCTTGGTGGATCCAGATTTTCCAATAAAATCATCAAACTGGAAAATATCATCTCTCTTACTATCCAAAAGAGCTTTCTTGGCTTCAATGGTCACCAGGGGGTCTTGTTTGTATTTCATGAAGTTTGATCCATACTCATTGATAACCACTTTCCTAAGCTCTGTAGTGTCAAAGTTTCCAAACCTCAGTTGTTCAGAACCAGGAACAACAAGATCTCCCATAAGTAAGCTTTCATCTTCACTGTCCTCCTCAGTCCTCAGAAACAGTGTGCTGCTGCTTCCCTATCCTAGAACCATCACCAGTGACCTATTTACCTTTGCTAGCACTATAATTCTTGCTTGGCCCAGCTTCAGAGGACTGGCCAGCCTGCTTAATCTGATCCATCATCTGCTTCTTAGGTGATGGGAAATCATCCTTTGGCTGATCCCTTTCATTCCTTATCCATTTAGTTCCAGATGAATTAGTGTACCCATCCTATGGCACTTCTCTCTGAAAGAAATAGTCATAGAAATGAAAATCCAGTACCCCATCCATAGAAGCAGGTACTTTGGTGACATCCCTATAGCCAATTTTTACCCTAACAAAATCATTTTTGTTCAGGCTATCTCTGTCAACTTCCAAGGGAAGTCCCACCTTTGAGGCAACCATGCACACATTAGACTAGGACCTTTTCTCAAAAGGAATGTTGGAAATTCTGAACCAAGCCACTTCCAGGGGCCCCTTGGACCCAGTAGTAGGATTCCATTTCTCAATCTTAATGACCACCTCAGGGGCAGATCTTATTCTCATCTCAGTGAAGTGGGCTAAGTCCTCAATAGTCTGTGCATTAGTGAACCTCATCTGATATTTGCTCTCTCCAACTCTTTTAGCAAACCATCTCCAAGAGGAGTTTGGACCAGCCTTCATTTTGAATTCATTTTCAATCTGTCTAGCAGTAGCCTGTCCAGAAGTGACAGTCACTAATGCAGTAGTAGACATGTCTTTTATCCCTTCCTCATTGCTGGTAGTTTCAATGACATGAAAACCCTGACCATAAGCAGAAAGACCACAGAAAGGAGATATGAATTCCTAGGGCATCTTAGTTGAGCAAACTCTCACCACATGCCCTTCCTTATGACACCTTGAGCACACCATAGGGTTAGGACAAACAGAAACAATGTGACCCACTTTTCCAGGAGCTTCACGTGCCCCGTTATCCCCCTCCCATGTATTCTGAGATTCATTAGCCACAATTTGTGTATTGTTCACAGAGGTTTCAACTTCAGTGGACCCCACCTTCTGGTTTGGGATGGATTCCTCCTTCTGTTCTTCCTGAGGTACTGGTTCAGTCTGGCGGTACTGGTTCCGGTTGTCTCTATCACCATAGCCACGACCTTCACCTTGAAATCTACCACCACCTCTGTCTCTACCGTGCGGAACCTAGCTCTGGTTACCTCCTTGCCATCCAGTGCGAAAACCAGCACCCCGATTCCCCTCGAACCCTTGATTGAAGCGATATGGAGGATAAGTACGCCAATCCATGTTCTTCCCAGGATGCGGAGGAGCCTGAAGAACCTGCGAAAACGACCGGCTATCACCACCCAAAGTAGACCACCGTGGGTTCGCCAGACTAGCGCCACGAAGGGGAACTACCTCCGGTGAACTAGAAACCAGCTTAACCGAGCACTGAACAAAAACCTCCCGGCCAACCTCAACCTCGATGCTGTGATTCCACAGATGAACAAGATGAGCACTCAAATCGGCATCGAGGTGATCACGTACCTTGTGTGGAAGCCGTGCCCTGGCCTCCTTCCGCCTCTCCTCCATGATTCAGAAGGAATCGTTAGGGTTTCCGCTTTCTCCAGGCGAGACGGGAGAATGGGGTGAGGGAGATGGGGAGGAAGAAGAGTGGGGACCTATGACCTCAAAAGGAGGCTAGAGAACCCTCTCGTCCCCTAGAATCCGCCGTGGCCTAGGGGTCAGCGACTGCAGAGGAGTCAAGATGTGGGTTGCGTCCGTGGAGATCGGCGTCGACACGATTCCCGACTGTGCGCACGAACCACTCTCTGTAGTTTGGGCTCGAGTCGTGAACCCGCCCTGCTCGGGCGCAGGGCTCGCTCCCATGGCAGTTGCACCACCCATGCCATGGTTTACACCTGCGTCGCATGAGACGCCCTCGTCTCCCGGGTCGAGAGGAAAGAGACGAACCATCCACCTGCTCAATAAGGTTTTTCATTATTTTAAGAAATTAAACTTCAGATAGTCATTCATGCTTGGAACAATATTATAGCAGTTCTTGCCTCACTGTTTCATATCTCACAACAACGTAGACTTAGTTATAGTACTTGCCACCCATAAAGTTTTAGGTACATGCAGCCTGTTCGGTAGGCTGGCTGGACTGGCTGGTGCTAGGCTTATCAGCCCAGCCGTTCGGCAGCCCAGCACCAGCTGCACCAGGCAAACGGCTAGTCTTATACCCGTTGCTCGGTCTAGCGTGCGGCGTTTCTCACTTTCTCTCCTTTCACCCGTCGGTGGCTAGGGTTCCACGCACACGCGCCGCTCGTCGCCGTCTCTCCACGCGTTTACCTGCGGTGGTCTGCAACGCGTCACCGAGCGCCGTCGGTGGCCACCGGATCCGAGCGTGGCCGCCTCTCTACGCCGTCCTCCTCGTCGGGGCTGCGGTGACAGTGACGTCCTCCCCTTTCCCCCACCCCGCCTCCATCGACGGCGCCTTCGGCCAGCAAGGTAACCCGAATCCCATGCCGTCGTCCTCTCACCTGTCCGCCTCTGAGCCGCAACTGTTCGTCTTGTAGTTTGACCCCCGCGCAGCTAGGGTTTTCCGCACTCTCGTTGAGCCTCGGTGACAGTGCTCTCGGCCTCTCTCCCCAGACCCTGCCTCCATCAACGGTGACTCCTTCCAGCACGGTAAGCCCCCCGGAACCCGACGCCGCCGCAGTTTGACCCCGCCGGATCTGAGATCCAACATGTATTCATGTCTGCTCCTATATGTGTCGGATAGAAATCCCCACATCTTGTTTCTATATTACAGAACTGCTCTACCTACAGATTTTAGGAAGTTTCTGATTACTTTCTGAACAGATCTGGTAGATGATGTTTAATGGCTTAGTTAACCTTCGAATCACCTTTTGGTAACAACTAATAAGTTGTATTATTTTTCATAAGCTTTCTAAAATGTTAAGTTTTTGTAAACTACAACTCTAGTTATAGTTTTTCTAATTTCAACGCCAGATTTTGTCAAAATCTGGACAAAGTTGTTTCCTTGTAATGTTTGACCCTGTTAACTATGGAATGAGCTCTTGATGATAATTACAAAGTTGTAGGTGGTTTCTTAAGCTTTTTAGAAAGTATATGATCACCCTTGTGGGATCTCTATATTTTCAGTTATGATTGATAGAAATGACTGCTATGCTGATGTTCTGAATCTGTGTGTACATAGAGTTGATTGTTTTAGCTCATTCTTGCTTAAATGGTGATAAGTATAGCTTGTCTTCATTAGTGTTAACTTAGTACACAATGAATTCTCTGTTGATATTCTAGTTCAGATTATGTTAGACAGTACACATGTAATGTTTTTCACCCCTGTAAATGTTTAATTTTTCAGATTATGTTTATCATCTTACAAGTGTGCTCTATGATTGCAATGCAGGCATAGAAGGGACGTTTCGTCCGGTTGTGAGCAACGCTGCCCAAACTGGCAGCGTCGTCGGCTTCATCTTGCTCTCCAACTACTGGCAGCCACTACAACCTCCGCTCAAAACGCCGCAAACGGACACAAAAGGCAAGTTAGGGATATGATTTGGCACTTTGCTATTCGGATTTGGGGTTTAATTCTCCTTTGGTAATGTTACAGTGACAGTGAGTGGTGGTCGTTACGCACCATGGGTTATTCTTGTGGTTAATTTGCTTGCTTCCTCTCTTGCTTTTCACCATGAAATTTTGTAACTATACTCAGTTTTCACTTTCCAGCAGATTCTTGCTTACCATTATCAGCGCATGTTATAGGTTTTATTGGTGCTTATATTTTATGGCAGAAAACTGTATTTTAATTAATTATTTGTTGTTACAGTAAGGGCTATACTAAGTCACGTATGCTTCTGGCAATTTTGCTACTTTTGGACTTGGGACATCTCTAATGCCATTTGCAACCCCAATAAGATCAATTGTTTCTTAGCTTCTATAGAACATAAGCATGACAAGCATGCCCACTAGATCTAACTGCAGTATTCTTGGGAAGCTAATTTTGCAGGGAAACACCTCGTATTATGTTCTTTTGATCTAGATACATTTGCAACCCTTGAAAGTTATGGTACAGATGCCTCTATGTTTGGTTCTATTGAGTGTTGTGTGGGTTCTTTAATATCGATTTTTGAAAAATCTAAAGCAAACCCCTTCTATACATAAACTAACTTCTTTTGGATACATTTTGCTAGTGGTGCATTACTAATAGCTTTGTCAATCCTTGAATCAGATGAGCCAGGACCGTGCTTGCTAGGATGACAGAACCTGCTCTCTGCTTCTTGACCTAATCATCAAGCAGAAAGACCTCTGTCACTGGAACTCCACTGGTCCAACCTCACTAGGGTGGACCAATGTCGTTCATGGCTTCAACGAAGGCACGAACCTCAGGTATAGCAAGAAAACGTGCCAGAACAACTACAACGAGCTGAAACGTTGTTACTTCAATTGGCGTGACGTACAGACCCATACTGGGCTAGGCCATGACCCGCTTACTAGAGAGGTTACAGCTGACCCCGAGTGGTACGACGCCAGTCCCGGGGTACTAACTACACGCATTTCCTTGACTTTATTTTAGTAATTAGGTTCCTACTAACTCAGTACTAACATCGCCATCACTGGAACACATGCAGGAAAGTAGCCAACCCGCTAGAAACAAGTTCAGACGGCCCCAATGCTGTGAGCAACTGATCATGATTTTGGGACGCACCCCACGTGACAGGGGCCAATTGCTATCAGCGGGGGCCCATCGACCTGACAAGTCACCTAGTAATGGAAGCCCTCGCACTCCTCCATCCTTGTCGAACGAGCCGGTCTTGCCACCTAGTAGTCATTAGCCCTCGAAGAGAGTCCATAGAGAATATTCAGTTAATAGTCCTCGCAGCAAGAAGAGTAGCCAGACTCCATCCATAGAAGAGTGCCTTCAAGACCTGGGCCAATTTTTCAGGGAGGCTAGGTCCTAGAAGGCCCGTCATGACACATATGCTCAGGAGTAGGCCCAAGTACATGAGATTCTGTTGCAAGATGGTATTAGCGAGACTGATGTAGTATTCGTGCAAGCCCTAAACCTCTACAGAGACAGGCTCCATCATTAGGGTTTTCTAAAAATGAAATCTAAAGAGGGCTGGCTAAACTGGATCAATGTGACGTGGGCCTTTGTGTGCTCCAATAAGTCCCAGTGATCAGCACATTTCTTGTATTTGTACTGTTTGCGGATATCGACCATGTGCATGTTGAGTTCATTCTGTTTGTCGTTTCATTATGTTCGTTTTTTGTATTACCAAAGACCATTGCTGAGAACTAAGTGCATGTCGTTGTCTCGTGTTTTGAATAAAATATTTGTGTAGTGCTGTGAGTGTTGTAAAACATTATGCATGTATTACTTTTCTCTTGTACATTCCAACCTATTTTCAAGGTGCTACCTAGTTCAGGTATCTTGACATGTTCACTTATTAGCATACGTTTTGTTCCTAATATCTGCATTACAATCTTATTGTTTTCTGCCCATTTGCTGGTAGCATCATGAGCAGCACTGACGAGTCGTCGTACAGCGACACTTCTAGTGATGGACCGAGTACTGTGACCTTGGCGAAGGCAGCAGTCGTCCTTCTGAAGGTATTATGTCACAGCAAATGCTTGAGGTAAATCCTCCTTGTCCCATTCTTAAGCTATCTAGAGCACAATGGATGCAGCTTACCCTAGCCGACCAAACCAAATGTTTAGACAATTTGCGCATGACGCGTGATGCCTTCATGCATTTGCATGAGACCCTGCTGCCGTTTGGCCTTCCATCAACAGATAAGTGCACCTCGGTAGAAGCTCTAGGCATGTACATTTAGACCTGTGCCCACCAATCGACAAGTAGAGAGTGCAAAGATAGGTTTGAAAGGTCTTTAGATACAATTAGCAGAAATATTATAGTAGTTGCAGAGGTCATGTATAGGTGGGCAAATACTGTCCTAGGGCCAGCAGATAGGAACTATGCATGCGTAAGCCACAAACTTGTTGCATATGCACCATGGTTTGATGGATGCATAGGTGCTATAGATGGCACTCACATAAAGGTTGAGGTTAACCGTGAAGCAAAGGCTGATTTCTTCAATAGGAAAGGCGAAACAACAATTAATGTTTGTGCCATCGTGGATATGGATGGTCGTTTCACATACGTGGGGGCCAGGAAGGCGGGGGCATGTCATGACATGGCGGTGTTAAAAGACTGTCAGGACGATGCTTCGTTCCCACATCCCCCAGCAGGTTTGTGATGCCTTGAGGTTCACATTCCTTAATTGTTTGCTTGTAGTAGATGTATTGAAGCATGTAATTTGTTATGGAAGCTGATGCCTACATATTGTCTCCTTATTAAACAATTTGCAATTGATCTATTGATGAGAATGTCATGTCTGTACCAAGCAAGTGATCTGTTTATTAGATTGTCATGACTAATTGGGGAACTGTTTTCATCGTTTGTAGGCCGGTACTACTTGGCGGACGCGGGTTACACGGAGATGCTAGGTTACATGACCACCTACAAAAACACAAGGTATCGTATCAATGATTTTAGGGGCGTAGAT